CCAGAGCAGCTGCGGTATAGCACTGTTACGCCTGCCCACTTTTCTGAGATCTAACTCAAAGCATAACTTTTCCTTTCCCTTTCTCTTTTTCAGATAACTGACCACAATACTAAGTATGCTGTCCCTGACACTCTGGGCTTCCTTCTTATTTCTCTCAATGGTCCTGCTCCCCTTTCAAGATGCAACTGTTTGTCAACCTCTGTTGGTGAACATGCCTGCTCTTTCAGACCTTAACTCAGAAGGCGTGGCCTTTTCTCTTCCTATGTCTTTGAGGATCAAGGTGAAATCTGCCCACGGTCTAAATTACCTAGCAAGTAAGGTATGAATGTTCTGTTTGACTGGAATCTCCAGCTTGCCTCTGCTTGATTTGGCCACTCCTCCCTCTCCAAACCCCCTCCCCCCACCAAGCTGTGGCTCCTTCCCTGAGGCTGCCACCCGCCCGAAGCTTGTGATTGGGCACACATCCAGCTGCATCATCGTCCTGCGCGCCTGCAGGGTATTTAAGCCTCCTTCGTTAGAACAGCCATGTGATTTCTCTCCTGCCCCTTTCCATGCCCTAATCTCTGAGAACTGGAGGACTCATCCAGAAGTTACTTTGCTCAAATATCCCTGGTCTTTTAAATTTGCCTTGACCTGCCTTACTGCATTAGCAGAAAAACCTATTGTCGGGGTCCAGAAAACCTATCAGTTTCTCCACAGGGTGAAAGAATCTCCTGAATTGTCAAAGAGTCTAAGGCTAGAATATGCATCCCCATAATACGATGGAGTGATGAAGTGTTGAATGGAAGGAAAAGATACAGCATGACGTCTGCCTTCCCTGTATTTGCCTATAAGTAGGAATAGCTTTTAAAGATGTTTTCCTTTGCCTTCTACAAGGGAGAACAAAGATGTTGATATAAAACACAACTTTGATCTAAAGAGAGTGAGAGTTGGTTTATTCTGAGCCAAATATGAGTTATTGAGGTCTGTAACCTGAATTCACCTTGCCCTGAGTAAACTACTCCACTGTGACAGAGGCTATATAAAATTTCATAGTCACAGAACAAAAGCAAGCCATAATTTAATTTAGTGTATTTACCAAATATACTGATGAGGGCATCAGATAAGGGGGCTAGAGCAGAGTAGGAAAATCTCAGATTGCAATAGATAGCATTCTTAGCTCTAGAGTGGTAGAGTAGAGATGGGCTGTTTAACAGCACATTCTGAAGTTTTGCCTAGTATTTATAAGGCTGTAAGGGTATATACAGAGGCATCCTGGGCCAGTGGTCCTGGGGTTGTAAGAAAGCAGACTGAGCAAACCAGTAAGCTGCAGTCCTTTGCGGTAGGACTTCAGATCCCCACCCTGCTTAAGTGCTTGCCTGAGCTTTACACAATGGCAGACTTTGATCAGGACAGGCAAGCCACACAAACCCTTTCCACCACAAGTTGCTGACTATAGTTGGTTTTTACTCTTTAGCTCTTGGGGGGGCCTACCACCCAGCTCCCAAATAAACCATTTATTCTTACTTATTTATGCCCGACTTTAACTTGTCTTGTTTCTAGCCAGCTTTTCTTAACTTAAATTATCCTATCTACTTTGCCTCTGGGCTTTTACCTTTATTTCTTTCTGTGTATCTTTATTTCTTACTCCGTGGCTGGCTGTGTGACTGGACTCTGTCATTCTCCTCCCCCTTCTCTCGCTCTTTGATTCTCCTTTCCTAGATTTCTCCAACATAACTCAAGCTGCTCATAAACTGATCATGCAGGCCAGACTATCATTGAGTTTGTGATCCTTTGACCTCAAACTCCTGAGTGAGGTCAGGTGTACTGAGATTATAGGTGTGATGACCAAGTTCAATTTAAACTTTGATAGTATGTGTTAAGACAAAACACTCCTGAATGTTTGAGTTGGAATGGACTTTTTTTTTTTAAAAGAGAGATTAAACAAGTTTATTAGAATATATATTCCACCAATATGTATGTTTAGAGATTGTATGTTTCACTTGTACACACACACACACACACACACACACACACGTACTTGCAATAAGGAAAATAAAAGCTGTAGCATTCTTTGGGACAGTGTCTAGGGATGTTAAATTAAGTCCCAGGTTACACAGAGAAATACGATTCTGGTCTGACCTTTTTAAAGGTCATTTTTGGTTTTTTGGTTGTTTTTTTTAACCCCCCCCCCATACACACATTTTTCCGAAAACCCTTAAGCTAGCATCCCTAGGCATTTTTTTTTTAACTTTCAGATGGCAAATGATGGACCATAACATCATTGGTGAATTGGTTATTGGTGAATTGAACACTTACCAGCTAGGCTCTAAGAACAAAAGCAGTACATTATGACCCTGCAGTTGAAGATTTGGGGCAGATGTTCTAGAAGGATACAGTGAGAAATTGTGTCTGCCCTCCTCTAGCCTGGTCTGTTTCCTCACCATGGCAGATGGGTGACATCAGACCAGGGCAGCAAGATTAAGGCACTTAAGCTCTGCTCATAGCTACAAAATTGCACTTGACTCCTTCACTCCTGAGTAATCACCACCTATTTACTTGGTTAGTTTTGCCCTTTGGGCACCTGGCCCACAGAGGTGCTAGGCTAGAACCAACTTTTGTGGTCTGGTTTTGTTTGTAACAGCATACGTTAAGAGTACTTAGCCATGCATCATCCCCTTATGAATTTCCTTCTAGATGAGTTCTATGGTCAACACCTCTACAGAGTTGGCATCAGGTCCTAATCAAGAACACTCCCTACAAAATATTTTTTTAAAGGCTAGCCACTGTAGATCAAGTAGATATTAATTCCCAGCTAATACTAGTGGGAAACACACACACACACACACCAGCCAGATGGCACAGGAGTAAAGGTGTTTGACCCCTAAACCTGATAACTTAGTTTCCAGGTCCCATATGGTGGGAAAAAAATCAACTCCGAGTTGTCCTGACCTCCAAGCCTATGCTATGACATACATCTGTGTGTACACACACACACACACACACACACACACACACACACACACAAATATAAGACATTAAACTAGTGCTGGTTGGTGGTGGTGTACGTTTTAATCCCAGCACTCAGGAGGGCAGAGGCAAATGGATCTGTGAGTTCGAGGCCAGCCTGGTCTACAGAGCAAGTTCCAGGACAGCCAGAGCTACAGATAAATCCTATCTCAGAAAAAGGAGCACTCCTACATTCATTCAGGCAGCTGGATTCTTTTTTTTTTTTTTTTTTGGTTTTACGAGACAGGGTCTCTCTGTATTGTTTTGGAGGCTGTCAGTCCAGCTCGGCCTCGAACTCACAGAGATCTGACTGCCTCTGCCTCCCGAGTGCTGGGATTAAAGGTGTGCACCACCAACGCCCGGCCAGGCAGCTGGATTCTTTATCCCGGACCAGAATCAGGACCAGAGGGAAGGACAGACTCCTACTGGCTTGGCAGAGCCGCTTGTGAAGGCACCCAGAAACCTGGTCTCCACTCTCTGAACAGTCTCTTCCTCCCCAGTGGTCCCTCTCCTTTGGTCTTCAGGAACTGTTTTAAAATCATCAGCCCTGAGAGCACATTAGCTGGGACCTCACCACCCAGTACTCTCTCAATGCCCCACTGTCTTCGCACACTGTCCTTCGGTGGGTGTCTCATTAAGACATGTCAATTAAAAACTCCATCTCAGGCTGGAGAGATGGCTCAGAGGTTAAGAGCACTGACTGCTCTTCCAGAGGTTCTGAGTTCAATTCCCAGCAACCACATGGTGGCTCACAACAATCTGTAATGAGATCTGGTGCCCTCTTCTGGCCTGCAGACATACATGGAGGCAAGATGTTGTATTCATAATAAATAAATCTTTAAAAAAAAAAAACTCGATCTCAGCCCTGCTTCCTTGGTCTGAGTTCAAAGCACCTGCCACCCAGATCCTCTCCACATCCTGGAATATTAATTCTTAGCCACAAGGGCACAGCATAAACCACAGTTGTGTGTGACCCATGACATTTGGGCAGGCAATGTGTAACAAGAATAAGGTGTCCCTCTTTGCAACATTCCCTTTATGAATCACTCTGTGGCAGAGAACCCGGCAACACCATCACTGTTCATGAGCATCCTTGTGTGACTTTTGACATCAGGTCCGCTCCCATGTGACCTGTATCACAGCTCTAGTGAAAGCACAGCTAATGACAGACTCAGAGGCTAGGATGATTGCCTATTGCTGTGGGAGTTTAGTATGGCATGTCCACAGAACGGATATGTGAATCAGGGCTATGAAAGGGTCACAGGTACTGGCATCAATCATTCGGACTTCCAATTACACATCTCACTGGGCAGTAGCACCTGTTTGTTTTCAAAGAACCAAGAAGGGCAAGACTCAATATGTAACAATTGTAATGAAAAGTTAAGTCCATATAGCAGGCAGATGGGAAACGCATTCAGGTTAGGGTGTGTTACATTGTCAAGACACTACATGCATTTTGTTTTCTGTGTTGTGATTATCTAGAGAAGTTTTAGGAAACTGCTTAAATCTAGATGAAATGCCCTGCTGAAGACAGTATTTTCTGACTGGCAGCTTCTGTGAAACCAGCCTTAGAAAATAACTGAATGTCACATCATTGCTGGACTACTCTCACATTCAGAAGAGAGCAAGTTGGCTACAAGAATCTTCACTTTTCAGCCATAGTGACATTGCAAAATAATACCTTACCAGGTTTAAGCCTTTGAGGTAGAGTATCAATGAAAAGAGACAGCTCCTAGCGTGTAGGTGCCATGAATAGACCACCTATAAGACTATTTTCTGACTTGTAAAAGACATGCCATCAGCTAAATAAGGGATTGAAACGAAGATAGAAACATCGCCAAACAGTTCCAGGGGCCAGTGAGATGACTCAGGACCCAGGCTTGATATATGGGCAGCATGTGGTGGAGAGAGAGAACCAGCTCCCAAAAGTTGCCCCGTGACCTCAGCACGCGCTCTATGGCACAAGGACACCCACACATACGCACACAAACATACACATTAAAATACACAAATTTAAAAACCTTCAACCACATTTATATTGCACTACTTTAGGTACACCTTTGGCTGAAATTATATGGGACACTAAAAAAAATATTGCAAACTTTACTTTTTTTTTGGCTTTGATGAAATACAAAGAAAGGCAACTTGGGTTGTCATTTATAATTTAGAGTTTGCTTCACATACATGATGCTGTTAATAAGCATGAGCATTTTCATAAAAAATTTATTTCACACTTTTATACAAATATCCACAGGTACTTTCTAATTATGAAATAACTTTACAATGCTAGTTAGTATAAAAACCTATCAAATGCAAACAGACCAGTGACTTGACTTGAGATGACATTTTTAACAACTATAAATTTAAACATCATAACATTCTTGTTTTTCTGTTGTCGAACACCCTCCCCACCCTTTTCTGGACATTCATTTCTATAACAGAGGTCTACAGACACGGTCAAGACCATCCGCTTCTTTGTTGTGTCCTTGAAAGCCAGTATGTTTGGCTTCAAGTTTCCCAAGCAAAAAAACTAGACTTTAAACGCTATCAGGACCCGCAGTAGAGAACTTTTTGTAAACAAGGCATCATTTGTAAAATTATTTTTATGAGTGAAAACGCCAAAGTAGAACCAGAATTAAAAGGTTTTAATATCTTAAGGGTATAATCTTTTATGAAGGAAAAAAAAAAGACTTAAAACTCCAAAGCAACAATGGCACATTTAGTAAGTTTTGTTCTTTTAAAGACTGAGAAGTGGCCAGCATGCAGCTCAGCTGGTGGAGTGATGGCCCAGCACGCACAAAGCCCTGCATAAAACTGAGTACTCTTGGCAAACATCTGCAATCCCGGCCCTGGGGATGTGGGGGTCAGGGCAGGGAGGCAGGAGGAGCAGAAGTTCAAGGCTATCCCCAGCTACCTAAGGAGTTCAAGGCCAGCCTGGGTTACTTGAGACCCAGTCTTAAAACAAAACAAAAAGAACTGCTTATATACAATATCCAAACAAATTAGCACCTCTTTGCTGCTGCTTCCATATAACTTAATTGTTTTAAAGCACAATTAAAAAATCAGTTTTGATAATATATTCAATCTCTGTCGAATATATATATACTGGTTTCTCTCTCCTGACATTTTAACAAATAAAAACAAAGGTGGGCCCTGGGAATGCTAGGCAGTCTAGCAGTGAGCTAAACCTGCTCTAGGCCTAGAAAGATCGTTAAGGTAGTCACAGGTCATTTTTAAGAATTGAGATTTGGGTGAACAATTAAAAAATCAAACATGGACTCGCTGGTTGAATGGTTCCAATGATATTTAAGAAGCTAAGTGCCATGGCTCTCCATCTGTCTGATGTGGCTGTTTTGGCAGCAAAGATGCTCTTCAGTAGTCTCACACTGGATTGGTCTGGATCCACACAGGTACTCACTTCAAGTCCTGAATGCACAGTGTTGAAAGCAGTGAGCACACGGATCCCAGAGTTCAAAGAACTCACTTCCTCTAAGAGTTCTGAGAGTTACAGCACAACGTTCAGAAGTTCCACACAGGGCTCAAAACCAGGGAACACCCAATGCCGGGTAAAGATGACACATCTTACAGTTAACCCTTTGTCAAACTTTCTGGGTTGAGGGAGAGCCTGCCAGAAAGGAGATGGTATCACTTACAGATAAGTTTAAGCTGTTAAATCGACCCTTGCATGTTTATAAAGAACTTTCCTTTCGCAGTCAATGATCAAGGTCAGAACAAATGACCTCCCAGGTTCTCATTCTGACTGCCTAAACCAACCTGAAGATCTTTGGACTATTAGTCAATAGCAAGATGGCTTGAAGAAAAAAAATAAATATATATAAACAAGTGTAACTAGCATTCAAGTCTGCCGCACCTGTGCTTTAGTGACAAGGGAGACGGGAACCTGCGTGCATTTGGCATCAGCAAGGATTCTCACTTCTAGGGAATGGAGAAGGCAAGATGGCAGCATCGCCTTCTATTGCACATTTAAGACAGAATTTTCAACAGACACACAGTTATCCAATGGCAGCGTCTTGAGCCAAAGGGCAATTAACGTGCAGGTTCTGCAATCGTACGAGAAGGATGCTTGTGGAGGCAGGGATGGCCACTCTGTTAGCACGGGTGACGGTGGGGGCCTTCTGCCTCCTGTGCTGTCAGGAGCGAATGTCCCAGGAGTGCAGATGGGCAGGCCCTGCCACTTCCCATGAAATGCAAGTAAGTCACACCAAAAACAAAGGCAATCTGCAAAGTTAAATTAAGGCAGTTAAAGAAAAATCCACCCCAAAAGTCTTAAATTTGGCTGTGCAAAACAGGAGCCGCCTTAGGTGTAACAATATCCACAGTTGAAACTGTAGGTCCATGCTGTGTGTCCCCAGTCTGAACTCATACTTCAGGTGCTAAGCAGGCTTTGAGCCCACCTGGGTTTCTGAGTTGGGAAAAATAAAAAGGGGTTCGGGTAGTGTGAGGCTTTCCTGGGTCCCCTATGAGTAACTTTCATTTTCATTCCACTTTGTGATCCACTGTTTTTTTTCCAGGTTATCATTGTGTTTTTCATCTTTGATCTCTCGCTCTTCTTTCCGGATGCGAACAGCATGGTATCTGGGAACGCTGTCATCGTACCTAGAGCGCTTAAAGAATCCACACTGGAGAAGGGGGAACAGAAGAACAAGATGGAAGTTAGTTAGTCTGAAGACCAGATGCACTAAACCAGAGCATCTAAGCGTTCAGTTCGGCTAGGTCTACCTCTGGATGCTGAGAACAGACACTGCCTTCTTTATGGAAACAGCGGTTGAAAAGAAACAGCCAGTGGGGGAAAAACAAGGAGAATGGATGTGGGCCTGGAAGGGAGGTCAATTTCATCTTCTTTACATTTTAAAACTCGAGCTATTTCTTGACTAACGAATTAAACATTTTGTAAAACACTGCTTTTATGTAAAAAAAAATCACCCTATAAATAAAAGATCTAATTTTCATATTACTAGACCATTATAAAACAACTTGTGTATGAAAAACAGGAACTCACTATGTAGCCAAGGATGCCCTCGAACTCAACATCCTTCTGCTTGAACCTCCTGGTGCTGGATAATAGCCATGTGTATACCACACTCTCTAAAGGCTTAAAAAAGTTACTTTCTAGTCCTCTCCTATTAATTAACTGTAAATCAGATCACAAGTAATTTTATAAGTACTATTTGGCATGCCATGTGAGTTTAAGACTGTTTTCTCTCCTAGGGGCTTTACATCACTGCACTGGCTAGACTCCATGGAGTGCTTCCAATTGAGCTGCTTTTTAAATAAGTTACAAAGTAACTGTGCTGCGATACAATCAGCCAGCCGTGAACCTCATGGGGCCGCATCACCAAACTGAATTCTGGAGTACTCCCCAATTTTCCTTCTTCATTAGAAAGCAGTAAAGGAAAGAAAGGAGGGGCTTGGGGAAGGGAGGGAGAATCTGAGAAGTCAAAATTATCAAAGCTTGTTTACTTGGGAAAATTCAGTCTGAACCAAAGTACATTTTAAAAATCTACCGGAAATTTTTAAACCAGATTAAAAATACTTATAAATAAGAAAGATACGTGTTTTCTTTCTTATTTTTTTTAAAAAGGAGTATTCTCCAATTTAAAAATGCAGTGTAGAAGAAGGATCTATGTAGACTGTTCATGTCCTTTGTGACAGCAACAAGAATAGAATGTTTCTGTTGGGGAATGTTGTGTCTTAAAGACGCCATGAGGCAAGACAAAAATCACAATAATAGGCCAAATGGGCCAAGAAATTTTGTTTAGGTCATTTCTATACGGACTCCATTTGTTATTCTGCATAGAAAAACCAATATGCTTATCATAAATTGGCCTGCTGTCTGCCCCATTTAAAAACAGAAGGAAATGAAGCTTGATCACTGTGTCAATGCCACAGAAAGGAACCGCAGTGATAACTCCATCTCCTCCCGCCCATAGTAAAAGAAAAAGGAATCACCAACGATTCCTGTTTCCATGGGTTTATAACAGGTCGGAGAAAACATGAACTGAAAGCCAACTGAGAACCAAGGTGGAATAAAGTCTATGAATGTGGAGCATGGTCAGACTCCATCACAACACACCGTACTACCCACAACGCTTTGGTACTAGATTTTTTTGCATGCTGAGGGTTACTTGGGCATAGGACCATCTCCTGAAGCACTCAAGAGGCCCGTGGTGTTGACACTCATTCTTTGTTGTAATGGTCTTTGGCCCAGATGAAAAGCAAAGGAAAAGGGGAAGTTGCATGCTTAGCCAGCATAAACCACGTCCAAGCAACAGTAGGAAGCTGCCCAAGCTGCCCCATCACTCTAGAGCAAGGACAACAAAATGGTGACAAGTGAAAGGAAGCCTCTATACGGGAGAAATACAAGGTCTCCCACATGCAACAGGCTAAGCAGGCAGTCAACAAAGCTGCTAGCCCTGAGAAATTCCAAAATGAACAAGAAATCTGGGCTGATTTCTCATGCACTTTTGAAATTCCCGAGTGGGACATATAACAACACATGGCAAACTGGGCTGCTAGGAGCTCTTGACACCTAACTAGACAAACAGTGTGAGTGTCTTTATTGTTGTGGGTATTGTTTAACAAGAGCACAAAACAACTCACCTGCATGAAAGATTCCTTGTACATTAACAAAAAGACAACTGAGCTTTCAAGTGAAACAACAAAATAAACACATAAATAAACAGATAGAAAAATAAATCCGAGCAAGGCAAGCCAGTGTGGACACTTGGAAACGTCTGTTAATGGGACACACACAGCAAGCTGTCGCTCTTTAGTTAGCCACCACAAGCACAGCAGGTCCCACAGCTAGCGATGAAAGACACTGATCAATTACCAATTACGGGAGTAGATGAATACTATGCATCGGAAGTGAGCCTCTCTTTATCAGACGGCTGAGTATGGATCTCAGCCTTGTGATAGGTGGTATCGTAATGATCTTTCTTATTTCTCTTGAAGAAACCACACTACAAGGAAGCAAGGTATTCAGTCAATTTTACAGTTTTGTGTTTAAAAGCTAAAGAAAAGAACACCTCAGGTTTTGGCCTAAGTGAGCAGTTACTGCGCTGTCACTCTGTGCCAGCATTAACAGTCTGTCACTCGGCATCTCTAGACAAAGATGACACACACTAGCTAATTGACTTTTCTATTTGCAGCAAAAGGTTTGAGGTCATTCAAAAAGGAACATGCATGTACATTTGACTAGAACGTGGATGAATTTTTTTTTCTTGCACAACAGACTTGAAAAAAGTCAAAACATTCACTTCTGTAGTCTACTGGGACAAGGAATGGGACAATAAACCCTATAAAATACAGATATAGTGTATCTATCTGCTTTCACAGTAAGTTTTATGGAACACTATTTTCTACTGGAGGCCCCGAACCAACTTGCAAGGTGAATAAATTCAAATGAAGGAATGTGTGCTGTCATCTCCCTGAATTCTGAACCACCATGCAACGCTTAAATGGAAGGAGCCCATGCTCCTCAGTTCAGGTCACTTTAAATGAGTATAAAAGTGTAATTCTACTCTCTGCTATTATTTCCTTCATTTAGCAATCGGGAACTTTTCTGATTTACTTTCATCTAGTTCATAGGCTGTGGGAACTATCTTTTGAAATAACATTGTACCTCCTAGTCTGGCATCTCATGAAGGAAGAGGATCAGATCCCCTTGTCACAGGGTACATACACATGGTTATTCAGGTTCAGATTTAAACTGAAAATTCGACTCTCCCACTGTACAAGCCACAGGTGACTCCTGGCTGTCGTCAGACGGTGCCACTCCAGAACATTTCCATATTACTGAGCCCTTTACTGGGCTGCACCGATGCAGCCTATCTCAGATGCACCTGTGTCTATCAGGGTAGCATGGCGAAGGCACACAGCCAAGCTGCAGTCACAAGAACTAGTAAACAGGGCAGGAAGAAAAGGTAACCAAAAATGAATAGTCTTAAATAAGAGTCTGAGGACTTTTGCCCTTTACTTCCAAAAGAAGTCCTGTGCAAAGGCCAGGATTTAAAAAGCAAATAAAGCCAGGGTTCCTCTGGGTAAAGTGGAGCTCTTCTTGTAGCTTTTGACACTGATGTAGACGGACAAAGCTCAATGTAAAGACTGCTGAACTAGATCCTATCCATCCTCCCTCCTTCCACAGTTCTGGAGACTGAATCCAGAGCCTCATACATACTAGAGAGCGGCTTCAGGACCCCAGAGTCCTTTCGGATCCTAAAAATTGCACTATTTTTAAAATACAAATAATTTCGTTTATAAAGAAGAACATGAGGTAATAAGGCTGACTTTCGTGTGGAGTTTGAGGATCTGTTTAGAATCTGCCTCAGAGTCTGAAAGCTAAGAATGTCAAAGAACCCAATGAGATAATTTAGTCTGATCCAACTATCAGACAACTGAGTCCCAGGGAGGTTACATGATTTTTCCAACATTATAAATAGCTCAGGTATCTTAACTCTGCATTTACTGCCATGACTACACATGGATTTAGGACTGCCAATAAGGTCTACTCTGGGGAAAGACTGACCTTGTGTGTTCTTCCAAAGAATACTAGCTCATCCTCAAGTATCAAAACCCAAAATTAACTTTCCCCTGTCAGATAATTGTGGCAAGACCTCTAATACTGACTGGCTGTATTTGCCAGATAACCCTAGTACTTGCCATATACCTGGGTAAAGCTGACTAAAATCCAAGTCTCAGAAAGACTACTGGTACAGACAGATAAGTCTCAACCCCAGTATCTCAGCCTGACAAAGGGACAGTTCAGAAGAATGCGTGTGTGGGCACTCAAAATCAGAAAGTCAGAATGTCCTTTGTCCCTGTACTCTAGGACACAATGGAAGGGAAAGGATGGTTTGGGCCTAGTATATTCTTTCTTCACCCCAAGCCCTCTAGAATAGACATACTTAAGAAGTGCTATACACACAATGGCACTGTAGTAAGAATGCCAGTACATCTGCAGTGAAACTCAAGAAATAAAAGAACAAGACTAAATATCATCTCTTCACAGCATAGTTCTACCAAGTCAAGTCAAACTTCCAGTTTCCAGAGATTTTTGCAGTCTGGAATTACAGATAAAGACTGTGGAGCTCCATTACTCCCTGGGACTCACATAAGACTGAAAAAGGTTGTAATCTGTTAACAAATGTTCATAACTGTGTAAAGGTAAAGTACATGGCAAGACAGCACACACTGGGGAGGGAGAGATGGCTCAGAGGTTGAGAGCACTGGCTGCTCTTCCAGAGGTCCTGAGTTCAATTCCCGGCAACCACATGGTGGCTCACAACCATCTACAATTCAATCTGGTGCCCTCTGTGGGTATGTGGGCAGAGCACTGTATACGTAATAAATAAATAAAATCTTAAAAAAAAAAAAAAGACAGCACACACTGTGCATAGTCAGAAGGGGAAATTAGCAGCAACTTACATCCAGACTAAAGTGATAGCTGTCAATTTGGCTTAAAGGTTGATCTTAGGTTCAGAAAATGCTAAGTAAAGTAGTAAAATTCAGATTTGTTATTTACCAAACACGCTGAATTATATATGACACCTCAAAATTATTTAAGACACTTCCTACATGTAAATAAAGAGTATCCAAATACAAATTATTAGGTAGAGACACAGATATTCTTTGCAAAATTCTCTCAGACTTGCTGTATATTGGAAAAGTTTCATGATAAAATACTGGGGGGAGGGGGAACAATGAAGAAGGAAACTGCAAACTTGTCAGCGATGTGACTTACCTTCCACAGCAAAAACACTAACAGAGCCAGCATCAAAATCCCAGCAAGGACAGCCAGCAAGATGATCCACCAAGCTATCCCGGAATACTGAGCAGCAGTCTTTGAGGGAAACACGGTCACACGAACCTACAGGACACAAAAGAGAGACTACTACACCAGGTGCCAGCCGACATCAAGCGTCGATGGCTTCAACTCTGCTCAATTTTGCTCCCGAACATGTTCTGAATGAAAAAGTGTATGGATGGAGAAGTCACTTTCTCCGGAGGGACCCTGTTTCTCAGTAACAGAATACTGCTTCAACAGGCTTTTCCTGAAGACCTTTATCTGCAGTCTGGACAGGTCTGGGTTATATTTCTTTGCTAATTTAACTCTTAAATTATGTTTTTTAAAAATTTGTTTTTTTAAAAGAAAAACAGAGAAAAACTATACAATGAATCACCAAGTACCCATCATTGCCTTTTAAGTCTGAACAGCTATCAGCAGATAATTATGTTTCACTACAATTACTTGATTGTTTTGTTTTTTGTTTGTTTTGTTTTTCAATTTTGCTGTGCTGGAGTCAAGCCTTGCACATGTGTAGGAAACACTGTTACCTCCAAGCTTCACCTCCAGCCTTCTATCCACAACCTTCTGAAAATAATCATACTTTCTTTTAGTTAGTTTCCAGCAATGGAGAGAACAGGGTCAGTTTGGTTATAACTACTCCACAAACTTCAGGTTCCAAAGATGCTGTGAGATAGGGGGTGAGCTACGTCACAAGCACGTGCCATCTTTCCTTAGGCTATCAAACTAAAGACCAACATAACAATACAATTTCCTGAAGTGACTTTTTGCCACACTCTAGTGTGTGTGGGCAAATTAGGTTCCTTCAGATGTGGCTTAGAAAGTAAGTTGTAACGATGAGAAACTTAAGCTCTAAGCATGTGATCACTTGCAAACACCCTCTACAAGGTGTCTACTCTAAAACCTAAAAAGTTGCCTCAGCCATTTTTAACAACTCAATATGTCTACAGAGCTTTACCATCCCTAAAACAAATTTTTCCTTTTGGTTTTGTTAAACTTTTATGGTATGTCCATGGGGGTGGTGGCTTTCCATAGGTGCCTGGTTCATCATGTGCCAAAGGCAGAAAGGACTCACGCTTGACTGGTATATTCAATTGCATCACCAATGACCGGTACAGAAACCACATCAGCCTGCCAACTGCCAAAACACCTGTCCCAAATTACTCTATGTTATAAAGCCCACTCTTACTGAACAGTAGTATAAATCACACAGGAAAGGGGCCGTCACACTTTTTACAAAAAGGACATCAAAGACACCACCGGCCCAGGTGAGTACTCTGTGCATACAAGCCTGTCTTCTAAAAGCATACGTATCTCAAGTTCTCCGAATTTGGAGCTCCCAGAAAGAAAATCTCACTACCCCAAAGAATGGGGTACTTAATTCTACCCATTACAACTTTCAGAAGGCAAAAGGCTTGGATGTTTACCTATCTGAGTCTTGGGAATAAGATGAGACATGTGTACACATATACATATTGCCTTCTTCCTTGGATTAATCTGAAATTCTTGACACTTCATTCAACTTTACTTCTGGCACTGTAGCACAGGGAGGGTACCCGTGTGTTTTAACAGGTGCTTATTTACCATGTAGATTTAAACAAACTGATGTCAAAATACAGTCATCTTACCTGGCTCAATTGTGTGATTTCTGCTTTCACTTGTTTTGACACTGTCTAAATGTAACTGTCTTACTGAGCAGCAAACACTAAACTCTTGAAATTGAGCAGTAAATAAACAAACTTTTCTTGGTCTTGCTTTTTTTAAAAAGCAGAACTAGAGTGAAAAACCAAGAAGACTGAATTACACAGTGTATTCTGCTTCTATTGCCAAAGAAAATGATCTTCAGACTAGAAAGGGGGAGGCTGGGATGAAGATGAAAATGTGACCCACAGTCAGTGAGGGATCAAGAAGAAAGACTTCCTGATACTCCAGTTAAGCTCCAGTCTCCAGGCGGAAACACTGCACCTTCAGATACACACGAAAAGTGTCCGCATGGGGTCGGGGCTATCACAGAAATCTCAGAAAATAGGAGGCAGCAGAAGATGAGTGATAAGAAAATGTCTCCACTTTGAAAAGAAATGGGTTCCAGATAGAAGGTTAGAAGTCGTTCACCAGCCTAAGAAGGATTAAGCAAAGCAGGGCCAGGCAGAGACTCCATCGCCACAAGGAGTCTGGTTAAGACAGAATGCCCAAGATAAGGATTTTTCTCTGTGACTAGGCAGCCAGACTTGCTCCAGGAAAAGAAGAGAACCTGAGACCTGGGATATGGTCTCGGTGCCACTGGCAGGCCACAGCACCGTTAAGGAGAGACTACCTTCCTCTTGAAGGTACCCAAGGAGATAGGACAGTTCCTCTCTGTTACTGGAAAGGCTGTTTCATGGCCAGGGTTTGTCCCAAAGGACACACCATGGATTTATTTTTTAAAAATCCAATTCTAGACCGATGGGTGGATTCATTCATTCATCCACAGGGATTTTGAGATAGGGTCTCACTGTGGTCCATCTTAACCTGGGGTTCACTATATAGCTCAAGCTGCCTCAGACTTGCAGCATCCCTCAGTGGTGGATTGCAGATGTGAGCCGCCATGCTTGGTTCACACATAACATCCCGATTTACAGAGAAATATCTTTGTAGTCGGTGTCAAGGCCACACATCGCACAGGCATTCTGAGAATGCAGTGTCGGGGTGGGCTGACTTCATTTTCCACTGAGCCATGCGCCATTCCTCCACCGCGTGGCTTCCCATCCTGGCCATGGCTCCACTGAATGGAGGTCTCCGGACTTCCTTTGTCTGGTGTGTATGCTGCACTCGGGGCTGAAGCTAGGGCCTCGTGCAGTAGTAGGAAGCATGAGCTACCTATTGGCCCTTTTAAACTTTCTGTATCAGAACAGGGCCTCACTAGATTGCCCAGGCTGGCCTGAAACTCACTCTGAAATCCAGACAGACTAAACCATGGTCCTTCTGCTTCTGCTTCCCGAGTAGCCAGCATATCAACAGGCCTGCACTATTAGACCTGACTCAGGGTTACTTTGTATTTTCAACAATTCCCTTGAAACAGAGCTTCATGGGGCAGAACCTAAAACTGTCCTTTAAGGAACAGCAGGAGCTGAGGGGTATGAGCACCAAAGAAGGTGCCCTCAGGTTGTGGGCACGGTGCAGTGGGAGAGGCCAGCCCCCGAGGCCCAGACACCCAGATCTCACCTGAGTGCCCGCGTGAGGCAGCTTGATGTTCTGAGCAGCAGCTGCCACGTCGATGGATGCCCGCACCAGAATGTCCAAGTAGTTCAGTTTGGAATACTCCTGTGGACGACAAGACGTGTGTTAGGGAAGTGACAAACGTCCTTGGCGGTAGCGAGTCCTTCCAGGGGGCAAAGCCACACCTCTAGAAATGTACTGTTCCACAGCCTGGAGCGCAAAACGAGAGAGGCCTTGCTGTCCAGCCCGCGCAGAGGACACCTGATGTTCACACACTTCACGTTGACACTGCAGTTCTAAAGAGGAGACTGCTGGTGAGAACCCATTGTTCTGGGAAGCCGTTCCTTGTTTATGCCCACCCCATTCACAGTCCAGAAAAATACTCACGAGGGTCTGGTATTTTCGTTCAGAAAATAAAGAAAACTTCCTGCTGTCATCTATTTGTTTTTCAGGAATTTCCCGTTTCTTTCTTGAGTTGTGAGACTCCTAAAAGTGATATCCAAAACAGACCCACTTTATGTAAATTTCTGCCGTTGCCATATAAGCCTCACAAACAAATCTTCATTGATCGACATCCTTTTCTTGTCCTGTGATAACACGCCTGACATAGCAACTTACAGGGGAAAGGGCTTATTTTGGCTCTCAGTTCCAGACCATCATGGAGGGGATGATAAGGAGCTGAAGGCAGCTGGCCACATGGCACCCACAGTCAGGAAGCCAAGAGCAATGAACCCTGGTGCCCGGCTCACTGTCTCCCTTCTATAGATCCCACCCCACGCTGGCGCCACCTACTTTTAGTGTGGGTCTCCTCACCTCAAGAAACCTTACCAAAACAATCCTTCACAGGGGCTAAATAGTCCCTCTAGGTGTGCATAGCGTCTCAGTGATTCCAAATTCTGCCAAGGCTATAGTTAACCATCACATCTTCCCTCCAAACCCAGCAAGCGTTATGTGGCCATTTTAGGTTCACCAATGGTCTCATAGGTCTATTTATTTACGTAGTCTATGCCTGTGTGACACTGAAACTCGGGGAAAGAAAAAGCCGCCTCCTTCGTTCTCGCGTCCCCACTGAACCACGAGCACATGGCATCAAGCGGTTAGTCTACTGAGATCTATCCCAGCACTCAGCCCGGGGTCTAACTCACAGGAGACAGTCAACACGCAGGGATGGTAAGATGCCAGGGAGGATAGACAGTAAGGAAGCACAAGGCCCTTTGACTTGGAGAAGACTATTGAAAACTAAGCCAGATAAGAACTTTTAACACGTGCCTTCCTCATACAGATTGAACCTCCCTTACTAGAAGGTGCTTGAGATTTTAGAGCATTTTGAATTTGGGATTGTTAGAAAGAGGCAGTCAACTTGTAATTAAGAGTAGGAATAACCACCATGTTTTTCAATGTTGATGAGTCAAGGAGCTTGCTGTAAGCCTCCAACTGTGAACACTCATAATAAAGTTACTTTGGAATTTAGCATACAAGAGGGCTGGGGATGTAGCTGAATTGGTAGATGCTTGCCTAGCAAGAATGAAGCACATGCTGTAATAGAACCCGGGAGACAGCCTGGGCTATATAAGATCTGCCTTAAAAATAAATAACCAAGCTGGGCACAGTGGTACACACCTTTAATCCCTGCACTCAGGAGGCCGAGGCAGACAGATTTCTGAGTTCGAGGCCATCCTGACCTACAGAGTGAGTTCTAGGACAGCTAGGGATACAAAGTAGTCAAACCCTAGTCAATCAACCAACAACAGCAAAACCCCCAAGAATTTATAATAAATGAAACAGTCATCCACAGACAATGCAACTGTTCACAACACTGGAACTCAAGTCACCTAGTTACATAAGGGTGCCGCAGGAGAGAAGGGTTGAGCTTTGAAATCAGCAGGGGCTTAAATGCAGAACCTATAATCTCTTCACAGCTGAGTCACTTTGAGAAGGTCACTTAATGCCTCTGATTCTCCGTGTACTCACTCTTCTGTGAAGAGGCAGATAATAAAAAGCTATCTCACAAAATTGTCAAGAGAAAGCACCGAGTGCTTAGTCTGGTACTGGCAAAGTAAGGGACTCAGCGAACACTTTCTATTAACGCGAATGAAAGTGTTCCAGGTCATTTGCTAAGGTGCAGAGGCCTCCTACAGTTCCTGCAGTTTGCGTTGGCTGGTTCACCCCCACAGGAATCTCCTAGTTTTCCTCACAATCATTGGCTCATAACACTTCAGAGAATGTCCTTCATCTCAACAAGTGGATGTTCCATAATGGCCATTCATCAGCCTTAGCCTTCAGTTATGAATGAGAAAAACTGTTGACAACCCAAAATGGCGCAATGCGGTTTCCCCAGCAGAATCAAGTTTACCCCTCAAAAGTCAGCAGCTCCCACCTGGGTGGCAGCAGGAACCCCATCAACGTACCTTCAGCTTCAGGAAGTTTATTTCACTGTGGGGCTCACAAATGATCTGCTCCAAACCTTTGGATTCAACTTTCACCAAGTAAAGCAACCATTTGCCGTTGCTAATTTCCTTGGGCCACTGTATATTCAAGGTCGCCGTGCCGAGGTTTTTAAGAGGTTTGCCTAAGTTAATCACCTGTCACAAAACAATGTATTTTGCTACAATATCATCTTTTTAAGATAAAATTAAAAGATTCTTATCATAAAAAAATACAAGAAAAAAGGAGAGGCTAAAAAGAAAGGATTGCTAGTCCAACCCAGGGGTAACTATCACATTTAACAAAACCCACAGTGCAGGTATGACATGCTCCCAAAAGCACAGGGAAAAGTCCTAGGCACACTGACAAATTGTTCAGTGAACATCCTACCTGGCAGATGACAAAGTCTCTGTTTCGGTCCCCATTTCCTGCTCTAAAAAATGTCCCTGCCATGAAAATGAAGCAGTCTCCTCATCTATCTGTATGTAGGGAGACTGTGGAGAACCACAGGAAAGCTCGGGGCGAGTGCTGGGAGCGGAGTAGCTTTGTCCATCAGGGCCCTGGGTATCATAGCACACAATTCTAGAACCTCATCTGCCTGACTGCACAGAGCTCACAACAGTCAGCATTTCTTGAGAGAACTGGCCTCTTTAGTGTGCTGGATTTGGGTCAAGTCTATTCTTGCCATTTCAGGTTTTAACCTCAATGCTCATCAGTATTTTAGGAACTCGATTTGCACCATGGAGACCCAAATCCATTTGCATCATAGGCAGACATCACAGCCCATGTTCAAGTTTGTTAAACTGGACCCAGAGTCACAGTTGGTTGCCTACTGTGAGAGCCCATCATCTGCTTTCTTTGCTGGCACCATCCCAAAATTGGGCTTGTGAAAGGGAGTAAATGTGAACATTCCTTCAGCCAAGAACATCAGAAGAAAAGACTTTCTTACAGAGGAAGAAACCAATTACACATCCTAAGGTCAACTACAAATTACTTGAAACTGTATCTTTGCTTTATAGACTGAGCAAAAAAAAAAAAAAATAAGTATTACTTTGTGCCTACACTACAGGTACATTACAATTCCCTAATAAGGGTTAGCAGAGTTGGATTCCAAAGCACAAGTCCTTGCTGAGTCACAACTGTTCTCTACTTGGGAGGATAAAGTGTTCGCTGTTAAAAACCAGCAAACATGTTCAACCAGTCAGTTTTGTTGTGCTGATCATTAAAATGACATATCAAGACTGCATCTAGGATTGGATGCTCTAGCTTACCCTGAATTCATACTCTATTAAACTTCCTACTTCGTCTTCAGATTTCATAGCTTGTTCACCAACAACTGTACCTCCAAAATACACCTGTGAAGGTTTAGCGACTCTGTCAAATTAAAAAAACACCCGTTTTAGAGAGAATTATAAATGGTTCTTTCAAAAATTGATTTGTTATGCCAAACACAACGCTTACCCGGAGACCGATAAAAGCAGTTCAATAACCACTTTTGCTTTCGCTGTAATTGGAGCCAAATTATCTTGATTGCTTGTTCTGAAAATGAAAGGGGAAACAATGGGTTTTATTTGAACAGTCAGTTTTCTCATTACAATTACATTTCTTTTATGAGTTAGATCAGTGCTCATTCAGTGACTCTGGGGTTCTCATGAAATAAGTATGAATGGGAAGGTTGAAGTAACACTTACGTTTCCAACTTCAGATTAATATCCAGATCTGTGGTGTCAAATGTGACCTCGGTTGTACTTAAGACCAGATAAAAAGTAACCTAAAAAAAAAATACATATAAACAGCTGTTACCAAGGGCCAGGCCTCTGGGCACAGTACTGGTATTCAGAGCAGTTATGACAGAGCGCGTGGAGGCATCACCTACACTGGAATTTCTCTTGAAAGGATTCCCGAGCTCACAGTCCGCTTGGGAGCCATTCTGGTTGGCGACACAGCTCAGTTGCTTCTCCTGGGGCAGAAAGGCACGGGGTCATGGTTTGCTCATGTGGTCTTGTTCTTTCCCACCCGGCTGGTTTCTCAGACACTTACAGGGAAAGCCCTCAGTTCTCGGTATGCCGAGTATGTGAGAGTGTCGGGGAAAGTCGCAATGAGTTTGGCCTCGTGAGCGTCGTCACCGTCTTTCCTGGGATTCCTTGGATCAGAAGGGCCGTTGGTCACTGTTATCTCCAGAGCTATATCTTTCTGATCTTTTAGGACTAATTCTGGAATGCCTTTTTGACTATTAAAAAAGAAAGAAAACCACAAAGAGTCTCAACACGTGCCATTCTCCTTCTAACCAAAGTCTAGAGGTCAGAGTAACTTCTCATGATTCTTACATTGGAAGGTAAGAGAATTTGTCTTGACTGCCTTCTCGGGTACAGAATTTATACTCTAGCTTAAGGTTGCTGTTACAGACATTGTCGTCTCCACAGCCCTCCTTTAAGAAGTGTACCTGTAGGGAACCAAATGCAGAGAGATCAGGTTCTAAGTCTTCACATCTCATATCCCTGTGGTGTTTTACCCTCCTTTGCCAAACACCAGGTTAATGTTTTTTTTTTTTTTTTGGTTTTTACGAGACAGGGTTTCTCTGTATTGTTTTCGAGGCTGTTGGACCAGCCCGGCCTCAACTCACAACGATCTGTCTGCCTCTGCCTCCCGAGTGCTGGGATTAAAGGCATGCGCCACCACCGCCCGGCAGTGGTGGTTAATGTTTTTACCCAGCACTCGGGAGGCAGAGGCAGAGGCAGGTGGATTGCTGAGTTCGAGGCCAGCCTGGTCTATAGAGGGAGTTCCAGGACAGCCAGGGCAACACAGAGAAACCCTGTCTGGAAAAACAAAACAAACAAAATAAATAATGACGACTACGCAAGGTCAAGCAGTCATACTTCTCTAGGCTCACCTTGAATCTCCACTCTGTCCTGGCACACAGATCTCATGTTACATGACATGTCCAGCAGGCCATAGGATACACATTTTCTTCCTGCAGTGACCTAAGCTGCACTAGACACTAAAGTATTTCATCGTGAATAGTTTTCTTTTGCTTTGCTAAGCTTTGCTATTCCTTGAGTTTAATGTTTTAATAATATATATTATTATCACACTGTGCTGTTCTCAGGGGTACAGTGAAGACAAATACTGCTTTGCTCCCACATTCCATCTCATAGGGCAATTACATATACAGAAACAAGTAGTTTTTTTTTTTTTCTCAGATAGGGTCTCATCATGAATCCTGACTGGCCTAGAACTTGCTGTGTAGACCAGACTAGCCTTGAACTCACAGAGATCCTGCCCCTGCCTTCCAAGTGCTGGGATTAAAGGCTTACACGACGCCACCACACCTGGCCATAAGTAAGTGGTCTACACAGCAAATCCCTAATTTCTATTACCTTCGGAGGCATTTGTTTCCACATTAAGATATGGTAAACACTGGCAAAACAGAAACCAGGATGCCTTACATCTGTCTGGACGGTCTTGGCTTCGTTCGAATTCAAGATAGGAAGAACTTCGGGAAGTGAATTCACCCGCCGGCGAGAGCTGGTCTCCTGGATCTCCACAGAGGCGGTGATGGGAATGGGACGTAGCTTGTCTCTGATGTTCTCCTGCAACGCGAGAAGTGACACGGGTGAGTGTGGTCAAATGTGGACCGACCTCCAAAACGAGGGCAGCGCATTGTTGTTGTTCAGAAACCTAAGCATCACGAAAACACCCAAGTTCTGTCCTCTTCAACATGACTGCCACACGCTTGCTCACCTGCAGCCAGAGGATCTCCTCCATGCACGCCCGCTGCTTCTGCCGGTTCAGAGTTAGCTCCTGAGTATACTTTGGCTCAGAACCTTGGTTTCGAAACTGAACTCTTGATGACAACCCAGACTTTCTTCTTTCTTTTTCAGCTTCAAGTATGCCCAAAATCGCTAGGTCGAAGTGAACAAACCGTATTAAGTTAAAAGTGCGCCAGCGCATCCCCGGAACCACAGACGGGACGAGTTCTTCTACAGTATTTTAAATCCCTCACACTAGCACTTGGCTCCCTAACCGTTGCTTCTCTTTATTATTTCCTGGTAGGGGAACTTCTGTCGAACTGCAAAGTTTCAAATCCAATATTTCTTCCCACCGCTGTTACCGTTTTTTAAGTTAAACTTTCACTGGACCACCTGGGGGAGCTAGAGAACAAGCCAGAACCTTCTGCAGCAGCTAGGAATCAATGAGTTTCTGGCTGAATTTCAGGAACCCACAGAATACTAAAGATAACAGGAAACACCGTACTCTTTCAGCCTGGGCTCTATGACATAAGGTCTTTGTTATTTGAAAAGGTGTCTGGGAAAGCAGTCTCTGGCAGCCGAACTGGTATTTGCATTTTAGTGCTGATAAGCAAGGGGGACACACACTAAAGTCCTTGAGAGCAGGATAAGAGACCTGTGATCCCAGCACCTGGAGCAAAGGGAAGGAATGCCAAGAATTCAAGGGTAACTTCAGCTACAATGTGAGTCTGTCTGAAACACTGGATGGATGGATGGATGGATGGATGGATGGATGGATGGATGGATGGATGGATAGATGATAGATAAATTTGACAGACAGACAGATAGATGATAGACTGACATTTCTCTCCATAGCTGGAAACCAGTTTGTCACCCTACAGCTTTCATAGGTGAGTCTCCAGCCTGCAGCAGAGGTGGCCTGCTGCTGACTGTCTCTGCTAACTCAGCTTGGAGGCAGGCCAGGATCTGGACCATCAGAAGCTCACTTCTGGACCCTGGAATGCATTCTTCAGTGGGTCACTGGATGAGGCTGCTAAATATGCTTTTCATGGGCCAATACTTAAATTACTTACATTCATTAAACATTCACTGAAGCCATCAGAGAGGAAAGAAAGCATGAACATGTACAGAGGGTTAGAGAAAACAGCCTCCAGGAGAAAAAAAAAAAAAAACTCCGCTCCAGAAGATGTGGAAAATTGAGCAACTTACGTTCCTACTATCCAAGCTAGGGTGGAAGAAACCCTTCTGAGAGCTTGCTGTTTGAGACAGATTTCATGCTGTCTGGAGCCGGCTATGAAGCAGAGATGACCTGAAGGGATCCCTCCTGCCCCTGCTTCCTGAGTGCTAAGATTACAGGCACGCACCACCATACCTGGTTTTATACAATGCTCCAATAGAACCAGTATTTAATAATCACACAGCACTGGGACTGGACCAGGACTTGTGCACACAAGGCAAGCACTAACTGAACCACCTTCATCCCTAGCCGTGAGAACGTTTGTTTTAATGTTCTCTCTGTAAATGAAGAAGGTTCAGAACCATACAGCAAGGGGCAGAGGTATCGACAGTGCTAAGACTTCCTGAAATACAGTAGCGTAGATGCGAGGTCTCACTGCCCCTCCCCCTCTGCACCGGCCTGCTCTTCCTCTCTATCCTCCCAGCTCTGCCTCTCTATTTCCTCTTCAGAGTTTCGCCTTATCCAGAAAGCTTGTTCTAGTTCTTCCTGAGCCACTGAGAAAATTCTGTCCCCAAAGCCTTGGAGGCCACTGCACTGAGACTGCCTGTCTTCCACGGTGTGGAGGAGCTAAGGCATCACCCTTGTTCACCACTGTATGTATCTCTAGCAAGCACCAGAACACTTGATAGACATATCATATGTAGGACAGATGAATGGAATGGAGTAACCGGCTCCATGCAGCTGTATGCACAGCGTGATGTGTGTGCATGTGTACACACAGTGTGATGTAATTTTAACATGAAAATCGCCGTTATTCAGATATTCAAGACCAAAATTTAGAAGCGCTGACAGTTTCAATAGCAATTTCTCCATCCGTGCTGAAATACTCTTAAATGTCACAGTTGGCAAACGGAATGGCCCTTTTTGGCTTTCTGCAGCCCTGACATCATCCATTTATCAGTGACCTGCTAACTTCACAATGAATCAGATGAAGGCTCCCACGCTAGGTGCCCCTCGTGGCAAAAGCACAGGAAGGTGTGGGTACATTAAAACCGTTTATCTACCAAACCCAAGCCAACCTCCTGCAACCCCCCAGACAACTCACATCATCTTAAAATCCTTGCAGGTCACCTTTGCTGACCTTCTGAGGGGCAAGCCAAGAATACTCATTAAGGCTCAATTATAAATATCTATGTTCATGCAACACAGCAAGGGATGGCTGCCGGGTTAAAATACCCTGGCCCGACAATAGGCTCAGTATTAAAATGTAGGCAGTTTGGTGGAAATTGTTTTGTTTCGTTTTAAAGTTCCTAGTACTGAGGAAGTACCATGAAAGAGTTCTTCCAGGTGAAGAGGTCCACCCATCATAGGCCATCAATAAACACTTGGTAATGGAGTGATTACATACTATAAAGAAGGTGCACAGAGCATCCGACGTTGGGCTAAAGCTAGGAGAGAAAGTCTGTCATTCTGTCTATTAAGGCAGGGGGTGGTAGGAGCATACCAGTGAGATTTGACCTTAAACAACTCAGATAGAGTCAATGTTTTCTCATTTCTTCTCCTTGCTCAAGAATCCAGTTCATTCTCATTTCTCAGACTCATTACAAATACAGATAAAAGGCTTGGCATCTAAGTGAGGACGGTGTATATTTTCTTATCATGAAAAACCAAGCAACAGCCCGGTGGTGGTGGTGGTGCACACCATTAATCCCAGCACTTGAGAGGCAGAGGTAGGCGGATTTCTGAATTCAAGGCCACCAGAGTTCCAGAACATCCAGGGTTAGACAGAGAAACCGTGTTTCAAAAAAACAAAACAAAACAACAACAACAACAACATGCAACAAGGGGTTGGGTAGAAGGCTCAGTTTGTAAAGTGCCACACAAACATGAGGAATGTGGACCAGTTCAGTCTCCAGACTTTGACTTTAAAAAGCCATGCATAGTGAAATGAGGAGAGGGCTCAGTCCACAATGCATCAACTGTACAATCCCAAGGACACCAGTTTGGATCCCAAGAACCTGCATGAAAAGTCAAGAAAGCAAGGATAGGCTTATAATCCTAGCCCTGGGGCTCACTGGCCAGCCAGCTTTGCCACAGCAATGAACTTCATTTTCAACAAGAGACATATCTCAAAGGACAGCTAGCAATGAAAGAGAACACTTGCAGTTGATTTTCTGGCCACCACACACATATGTATACACACTTATACAATGTGCGTGCACTCATTTTAACAAGCTAAGTATGCGCGCATACACACACACACACACACACACACACACACACACACACACACACACACACACACACACACACACGGAAATCCTGCTTTGGGTACCAGAATAATTTAAAAGGCAAAGTGCCTTCCGTCTGGTTTTGTCATTGACCAGCTTCACAACTCTAGACAACAGCTCAGAGGCATTGTTTTAACGGACAGGAAAGCAAACTCAAAGGCTAAGGACTTGTCCTTTGCTATGTTGAGGCCAGGAGCAATGGCCAGGTCTCTGCCCTCTGGACGAGCCTTCAGATGCTCAGGGTCCTGTACTTGGATCCCAGCTTGGGGGAGGGGCCCGGAGCCCTGTGGGAGGTCCTAATTAACCTGGCGAGTGTGCCAGCTGCTGCAGCTGTGCTTGGCTCCCAGAGCTGTCTTCCCACGGGACCGCCACCCACCACCTCAGAACCGCACAACCAATTTCCCTCAGTGCTCTGCAAAGACTGCACAGGAAGAAGATGTTGTGACAGCAGAGAAGTGCTTTTCCAAGTCTTCCTGTCCCAAACCATCTGCTCTGGAGAATTCAAATGAGGACCAAGTGTAGAGTTTCCTTCCCTCACCATGCTGTGTCCTCCTATTAAAGGGGAGACCACTGATAAACTTTATCCTCTAGACAAGAGTTTATGAGCTCACTTTGGCTACTGCACTTTTGTTTTCCTGTGATTCAACCTGACAGAAAACTTTTTTTTTTGTTTTTTAAAGGTACTAGGCACTTACATATTGGAGGATTATAATCAGAGGGTTTCGCAGTATATTCAAAACAGGCTTTAACCTTGAGGCTGCATAAAATCAAACACATATTTCTTAAAAAGAGGCACTGTAGCAGTGGAAAATTCCCACCCTGTCCCCCAGCCCTCCAACGTCCCCACTGCCCACTGATGAGTAAGTAATATGCTCACTCAACAGAATCTCATCCCTTTGTCCAGCACACCCTCAGCCTTCCCTGTGGCCCCTCAGGTCAATGGGGTCATCATAAAGCAGAAATGAGGCTGCCCCCAGAACCACAAAATGAACTCACCATATCCCGCTAGGCGACCCGCACAGGGATTTCTGGCGGAGGTCAATTCTGCTAGGGGTCACTGTGACGGTTTTCAGAATGTTAATCACTGGCCGGGATCTGAAGACAAAAGGAGTGAAGAACCTAAGCCTTTTGTTGTCTTGAACATCTGGGTCATTCCCATAGGAGGCAGTATTTGCAGTAGCCCAAAGCAGCTTTAAAAACACAGGTAAGTGAATGTGTGTAACTTCTTCTTGTGGGAACAAAGCAAACAACTAATGGGTATAAACTTACGCTACTTAAACTACTTAATATTTAAAACTATACTATATTTAAAAACCAGTAAACTTGCTGGACAGTGGTGGCATATGCCTTTAATCCCAGCACTTAACAACTTTAATCCTAGCACTCAGGAGGCAGAGGCAGGCAGATCTCTGTGAGTTCGAGGCCAGCCTGGTCTACAGAGCTCCAAGATAGCCAGGGCTACACAGAGAAATCTTGTTGGGGATTGGGGGTTTAGACTTAATGCATGCAATGCCATCAAGAAAATACTCTCTGCATTATAAAATACTCACACCCAAGTAATCTTGTATGTTCTTTTCAGACATGCTATCTGTTTATGTTTCTGTTACAGATATCATCTACTGTCAAACATAAAAATAAAGTAGCACTTTATGTTAACTGTTCTCTGTGGAGATATGTCTCATTCCTTCCCATTCAGGGGGCTCCTCCTATCACATACATGTGATTTATTACCCTTCATCTGTAGTGATGCTAAACGGTAACAATGTAATGGCTTCTATATACTCAGTCATCACCAGCGGCCATGGTGACACCACCATACAGAAATCTATGTTTACACTGGAGTTCACTTACAGATAAAATCCCCAGAAGCAGAGCCTCAGAGTCTAAGAACACATGTGTTCAAAGCATTGTGTTCAGGAGCAGAGGCTAAGGCAGGAGGATGAGTATGAAGCCATCTTGTACCACAGTAAAAAACTCTCTCTCTCTCTCTCTCTCTCTCTCTCTCTCTCTCTCTCTCTCTCTCTCTCTCTCTCTCTCTCTCTCTCTCTCTCACGCCTTACAGTATCTCTGTAAACAGAAACTCAAACCCTTAACCAGTCCCCATTTTCTGTGCCCCACTCTGACAAAGAATACTCTGAGTCTACCCTCTGGCTCTCTGCCCATTACGAGAAAACATCTCTCCCCTTATGTGTTCCCTGACTCCGGAGCAGACAGAGAAGACACCAGAGGAACACCAGTACATGGCGGCTGTGTGCTTGGCAGGGGGTGGGAGGACATGGTGGGGAGGCCCTGGCTGGCTCACCTCTCAACTCTCCTGCTCCCCTCCAGGACTGAGAGTGGGTATACAGTTTCATGACCATGAGGATTCAGTCAGAACTTTGGTGAGCTTGTGGTGAACACTGACATCCTGGAGAAGGTGTTTTTAATAGCAAGATGTCTTCCAAACCCCAGACAGCTATGTCAACCTTCTGGAATCAATCTGCTGGCAGCTGGAGAGAACACGAGCCCATCCATGGGGAAGGCAGGCACCAGTAAGGGGGCAAGTACCCCCACATCCCCTCTTCTCCGCTTTCCTTGCTGACTTTATTTATCCTCCTGCTTCTAAGGTACACTTGGACAGCTGTGGATTGCTAGGACACTAACTAGACACATTTTTAACTTGAGTTTTGAAAGCATACCCAAATAGTTAAAAACTTGTACCTTTTTAATTATTGTACTTATTTACATATTTTAAAATAAGTTGCCATATGGGTTTTTACACATTATAGTATTAATTTGTTAATACACACATTTCGAAATATTTGAACACACTTGACTCTGAGTCTTCTTGAATTTCCATTTTTCAACAAGTAACACAGACAGGGACACAGTATTAAGCATGATGGAAAATGTCTTCCCATGCGCAAGGCAGCACTTACTGGCTTATCTGCCTCACGGGTTAAACTAGTCTTTTACTAATTACTCTGAGGGACTATCATGACTCAGTGGAAGGAAGCCTAGGACTCAGGACCTAGCCTTAAAAGCACAACGGAGTCCAGACCTCAGTTCTCCATTTGTAAAATAAAGCTGAGTTGGTTTTCTCGTTACCAAGATTGTGAAATCTATAGACCTACTTAGGAGAACAGAAAAGTAAAGGCATTAAGATAGCACTCATCCAAAAGACAAGATTCTGATATCTGCTGGAAAAAAACTTGGTAACCAGATTTTAGTAGGAGTAGTCAAGCTTTCTTGATACTTGAGAGCTGTCCCAATTCCCTTACGATGGAAAGTTTGCTACAGGGGCTGAATTCAGATATTGTGGCCTTTACAGATGTTCAATCACGTTAACGTTGACACACTGAGGAGTTGGTACATAAGGGTGGTGCTTGTAGAAAACTTATTGACCTTGTTACCTAGGAGGGTCACTGTGCCTCACAGAAAGCCACTGTGGTGGCTCAGAAGGCAATGGCACTGAGAAACTGATGTCTTGTAGCCACAGCATGAACCGGCACTTAATGGGACACCGGTCCTGTGAGCTCTGTCACATGTCCAATTATTTGGATTCTTCCTTGGGCCTCACTGATAGCTCATCTCAGGCACACTCTTCTCTGCTTATTTTGCTATCTCCCCATAACTAACTTTGGCATGAGATGGCTTTCACAGATCTTGCTATTGCACCAGAAAATGTTTTTTCTTTCACTACATCAAAGCACCTCTTTGAAAGTGTCCTGGGAGCCAGGTATGGTGATCACCTCTACTCAAAGGTACCTGGGAGGCTCAGGGCAGAGCTGTTTGAGGGGAGAAGTTTAAGACCAGCCTGGGCAGCATATGAGAGCATGTCTCACAACAACGAAAGTCTCCTGTGATGGGTTTCCCGCTCCTGGGGGTTTGAGGATGACTGTATGTTAGAGGAAGAGGTTGCCTCTCCACCTGCCACTCTCCTGAAGGTCCAGGGCAACGGCAGGACCAAGTCCACAGCACACAGTTTCACTGCATCTTATTAACCATTTTAAGAAATAAAGGTGGCTCTATAGCCAAATAGTTTAAAAGGCACAAAACCAAAATAAGACAAAAACCAAACAGGTGTGGTGACGTTCTGCTATAATCTGGAAGAAGTCTCAGGAGGGCTTTCAGTTTCAGGCCAGGCTGGGTTACAGAGCAAGGCCCTGCCTCAGAAATGAAGCAAATAAAAAAAAAAAAAAAAACAAAAAACAAAAAACAAAAAAGCCAAACCTGATCAACCAAATAGTTCATTTCCTTTCTTTCTTTCTTTCTTTCTTTCTTTCTTTCTTTCTTTCTTTCTTTCTTTCTTTCTTTCTTTTTGAGACAGGGTCTCTCTTCATAGGCTTGACTGTTCTAGAACTCATTCTCTAGGCCGCCCCCAAACTCACAAACATCTGCCTGCTTCTGCCTCCCGAGCACAGAGATTAAAAATTTGCAGCACCACACCCGGCTTTCAAAAATTATTTGTTTTCAAGGAAATGTAAATTAAATCAAAAGGTAACATCACTTATCTTGCAAGTATCAGATTCATCATATTTAGTACTTAATAGCCTCTTAATGAATATAAATACAACTTTCCTAAAAATATATGCATTAATGTAAATGTTTGCTAGCCTGTATCCCATGAACTTTCATTTTTCTCTTAAAAACATCATATAGAGGTTCATATGCATGTTCCATATCAATTGTTTCTAATAAAAATCAGACACTATCCACATCTTCCATCCATTTTAAAAATTAATTCAGCATGTTTTTTTTTGGTTTTTTTTTTTTGGTTTTTACGAGACAGGGTTTCTCTGTATTGTTTTGGAGGCTGTCAGTCCAGCCCAGCTTGGAACTCACAGAGATCTGCCTGCCTCTGCCTCCCGAGTGCTGGGATTAAAGGCGTGCGCCGCCGCCGCCGCCGCCGCCGCCACCACCACCACCACCACCACCCGGCTTCAGCATGTTTTTAACAGGCTACCATTAAGCCATATTGCGGCACACATGTAGCGGTCCAAGGACAACATGTAGGGGGGAGGGTCGATTCTCTTCTACCCAGGTATGGACAGCAAGTCCCTAGGCTTTGTGGCAACTACCCTGACCCACTGAGCCAGCTTGTGGGCCTAACAAAAGAAAAACAAAAACAAAAACAAAAACAAAAACAAAACAAAAAAAAGAAAAAAACGACAGATGGTTGTGATCCACCATGTGGTTGCTGAGAATTGAACTCAAGACCTCTAGAAAAGCAGCCAGAGCTTTTAATTACTGAGCCTTCTCTCCAGCCCTGCTGGTCTAATTTTTACATATTACTTTAAAAACATGTAACCCTAGTTAGTCTGGAATTTATCATGTAAATCAGGCTGGCCTCAACCTCCCAAGTCCTGGGGTTACAGGCAAGAGCCACTACTGGCTAAACATGAAACTTTTACAAACCAGATTAGGGAACAGTAGTGCCTGTGGTCTTTTATTGATCCTAAATCAGTGCTGCCCAAGCCCGTTAAACTGTTTTGAGAGAGACTGGAGTATTTGGGCAATATTTAGGAACTTGATTTTCTGCAAATGAATTAACCTTGTTAGTAGAAGCACCAACAACAAAATCCCAAGAATCTTACTCAAAAACCAAACTTTCTAAAATGGTGACTGCCGGGAGTATTGGAGACACAGGGAAAGGAGGCTCCAAGCCCCCCACCCAGCCCTTTCAGCCTTGGGGTTGGGGTGTCGCTCCATGAACCCGAATCAAGTATTCAGATGCACAGAGCAACTTCGATTTCAGAGACCAGTGTAAGGAGCTGGCTGTGGAGCCCACACCAGAGACATGCCTCAGACACGTACTGTCAGGAAATGACCCATACAAGGGTGCTCACCACTGCCTTTTAAAAGCCTGTCTTGCTTCTTTTGTGTGTATGTGTGTGTGCTGTGCACATGTGTAGGTGACCCTACATGCGGAGGACCAAGGTTGACTCTGAGTGACGCCAGAGAGTCCTTGAGGCAGGGCCTTCCGGAGATACCCACAGGTAGTCTCCCTCACTAGCTAGCTGGCTTCAGGATCCTTCCCGGGCTGGGATTACAGGAGGATCACTACAGCTGGCCAGTACTGCCAGCCGAGCGCTGGGAAGCCCTCCCCAAGCCTCTCACAAAAGGCTTGAGAGAGATACACATAGGAAGCAAAACCTTCCATTAATTCTGACACATTTTCACTCCAAATTAGCTCAACATTAGCAAGATTTTACACAATTTTTTTTTAAACATATAACCCATCAAAAGAAAAATTTTCAAATTCAAAAAGCCTTTGTCTCAAAAAGTCAAAACATGAGTGTAAGATCATTTTGGAGCTTGCTTAACTGAAGTCAAAGATAACACACACCTGAAAATAGTTACTGAGTCTGAGAGGGAGCCAACAGCAACGTCAGGGTAGGAATTCTTATCCAGGTCCATATTCCCAGCGATTGAATACCCAAAGTAAGGCGACGTGCCCTCAAGAACCTGGAATACATAGGGCATTAGGATGAATACTGAGCCACTAAATGAGCTGGCTAGCTGCACTTTGAAAGACTCAGAAGGGCTAGGGACAAGGCTCAATGGTACAGCACTTCCCCAGCATGGACAAAGTGGGGGGTGGGACCCCTGGAACACAAGCAGAGGAAATGAAAACAAAAAAGTTGATCTTGAGCCAAAGTTTCAGTTCTCTTATTAAAAAAAAACATATTACATTATAAATGTACAGTTATCTGTTACTTCGTACAGTTCATAAAATCCATGTGATTCACACAGTATTCCTAAGGATAAATGTTTATTAAATGTCAGTATAGTTTAAAATCAAATCTAACTGCCCCCCCCAAAAAGTCTTATTTTCCAGTTAGAACTTTTGGTCCCAATTCTCCAGGTAATTATGATCTTCTACTGTGTTTTCCCAGTTTCGATTCTAGTAAGGATGCTACTAAGGAAGCAGAGCACAGGCCCCCACCCCGCCCCCCTCCCGCTCCCAGCTCAGAACAGTCCTCATTCTGGGTAACGCTGATTTCCCAACTTAGCTAAGACATTTAACAGTTAGAATAAGCAGGTCACTGCGTCTATGTGAGTGTGTCAAAGTCATCTCCCCATGGTACTCTGCAATCACACTGGGCTTGAAAGATGGTTCAGTGGGTAAGAGCATGGACTACTCTCCCAGAGGATCCCAGTAGCGTTCCCAGCACCCACGCCAACCACCCATAACCACCAGTAACTCTAGTTCCAGGGCATCTGACACCTTTAGCTTCCTGTGACATATTGGGTCACTTCACACACACACACACACACACACACACACAATTAAAAGTAAATGTCTTTAAAACTCATACTATTGTATGGGGCTGAAGAGATGGCTCAGTGGTTAAGAGCACTGGCTGCTCTTCTGGAAGACCCAGGTTCAATTCCCATACCCACAATATAACTTCCAGCGGATCTCACACCTTCACACAGACATACATGCAAAGCAAAATGCCAATGCACATAAAATACAACAGTTAAATTATTAAAAATTCATACTAATGGATACATGGGACTGAAATATGGGCGAAAACTGACTTAAACCTACATAGTATATTACTAGACAAAATGCTGGCACTGTTGTAGAGAGGGATCTGGTTACCTGTGTTGGTTTGGTATTTATGCCAGCTGGAGATCCATGATAGATAAAAACCTTCCCCAGATCATCATAGGGAGCTCCAACAGCAATATCTGTTGACATCACATTTAAAAAACATTATCATTTAAAAAGTACTTCAATGTCCCAAAGATGCCATGAACACTCATTAGCTACCCAATCAACCAATCTATGATGGTAGCCATACCACAATCTATTACCTACCTGGATAGCCATCTTGATTAATATCTCCAATATTTTTCACCGAAATTCCAAACATAGAATCTTTGGTCCCATTCAGACGAACTGGCTTCACGTTACTCCATTTGCCTTGCTGGTTAATGTAGATGTACACTGCACCCCCAACTTCACCATCCCTGTCAAAATACTGTGGGGCTCCAATGACTATGTCTTGCCACCTAAAAACATAATGAAAGGAAGAGCTGGGAACCATTGTCTGAAATGCCAACAGGCTCAGGGAAATTACTACCAGTGTAGGCTCCAAGAACATACAAATATAATACAAAGGGCCTCAAATCAAGAACTTGTATCTCACCAACTTATATACTTAAGATCAGTAATAAGCCAAGGAAAACAGTGACGCTAGCAACTCCAAGGCAGTTTCTCAAGGCAGAGACACAGTACAGGAGGATGCCACAAGGGTCTGCCCTTCCATTACTATTTCCAGCTGGCACTGAGAACTACTGAGTCCTCTACAGGCTGACGGCATCCCACCACCCACCACTTCCTTCTTTGTGTCAGACATTCTGGATGCCCCAACAGCCCCCGCATCCAAGAAACCACAGAACAGTCATGTAGTTAGCGCCATTGTGTGAGTTTTGTTTTTCCAAATTTAAATTCTCAAGACACTATGATCCCCAAGCACAAGCGAAACGTAACATTTAAAAGGTCCTCCTGTGGCACCGGGATAAGGAACGCCAGCTGGCGTCAACGGTGACAACGTGACAGGATGGTAAACTTTTGAACCAACTAACCTGTAGTTCTCTAGACCTACAGAAGCCAGTCAGCAGCAAGATCAGCCACACAGGATCCCCAAAGGCGTCCTTACCCATCAGCGTTGAGGTCCACCACCGCCACGTCATAGCCAAACGAAGAAGCCAAGCCTTCTCCATCAAATATGTGCTCGGGGAGAAGATGCGCGGACTTCATGTCTCTTTTTAGCAAAACTACAGCCCCACTGTGATTGGCTCTCGGAGCACCGGATACAAAAGTGATGTCATCTTTAGAAACAATACCCTTCCCTGAGTCCAGTGAAAAGCCTAGAAAAACAAAACGCAGTCAGTTTCTTACATCAGTCCTGTACTTCTGGAGGGACACCCACAGCTCTCCCTCCTGGCCCTCCAATCTCCTTCCACAATTTTTCTACAGGACTGACAGAAGGGCAGAGTGCCACAGCTATTTTACTGCTCTCGATGGACACTGAGACTTCCAAAGAACAATTCTGTGCTACTTTCTTAGTGTTTGCATAGCTTGACCTGTGAAGTGTTCAAACTATGGCAAAGAAAGAGTGAGCCAGATACCGAAGTCGCCTGGGAATTCTGTACCATGTGCTCATCACTGAGTGCATGTTACAGGGTTCTGCACTGACCAGCAGTTTACATGAACAGCACCTATACGGTGTCAGTCTAGTCGGCAGTCAGGTAAGAACAAATGTTGATACTACTAACATGCCCTAGGTAGCTTCTTATTACTTTGAACCAACTAAATTCTCAGACATAAGCATGCAAAAACAAACAAACAAACAAAAAATGCATGGTTTGCTTGTTATTTGAGAACCTCACATCAACAATAGTGATGAGTCAACTGCCATTTGGATCAGTTACATATTGTTCAAAGGGTAGGCAACATTGGAATGTTCAATTATCATGCATGAAGTAGCCTTTCAGGTTACAAACACTGAGATTTGCTAGAAAAGCAAACAGAAGTATCCATTGCCCAAACTCTTCAAATTAACCCAGTCTCTCTCTCTATAAACATGCCAGAGGGAGGTAACATAAAGCTCACCCTTTTTATTGGGTTTTATTTATAAAAAAAAATGTCACCGCTACTGTTGCAGTTCTCAAATTGTAAGGTGAATTGAAAATATGATGAGCCCCAAGTTTAGAGCAAGGCAATATAATTGAACCCAGTGCTGAAAACCATCTGGCAACTGAGCTTGAACACGGCATGCTTTTTGTATGTGTTACATTGGAAATGAAATAGAAAATAGGAAGATTTATGCTCTGTATGGATCAAAAAAAATTTTTAAATGACCATGACCAAGGCAATTTATTTGTCATCTCAGAGGTCACAAACCTAGGTAGCTATTCATCCTCACATCAGGGGATGTGTCAGGCTGCTCCCTGGGAGACCGTGTTTTATAAACAAACTGATCAGGATCTGTATAGGAAATGCTGGTCAAAAACAGCAGGCCTGTACACATGCACGGGACAGGAGAGATTGGAGAAAAGCAATTACGCATGGTAAGAGGCAGGGCTGCGCTCCTTGCTGGCTTCCACAGCAGATCGTTCTAGGTCCCACACCCACTGATCTTTTTAAATGTGACGTTCACGCACAGACCATCAAAACATAACAGCACACATTTGACTTCTTCCTCAGACATCTACTTTTGAGGAAACCCATTCTCAAAGAGGTAAAGGTGTTGGAGGATACAAACAAACAAAACCCTTCCCATCTGCCCGTGTGTTTATAAACCCTAGGGGTACCTGAAAGACCAAACTATGGGTTTGTTAGCCAGAACAATTAGTATTAAGTATATCCCATCATAAAATAATCCCTAGATAGCACTTATGAAAAACAGAGGTTGCTGGTTAACTCGTCCCAGGAAAATACTGGTTTGTTGCTATTTTCCTTGTCCAGAGATCCATTCTTGCTTTGCAAGGCCACTAACATGCACCCAGCTACTGTCCAGACCCATCATTTCCTGAGTCTTCTGTCTCGGTTGGGGAACTGCTAATGGTGTGACCTTGAGCTGGAAAACAGTTCCTTCAGTAAACACAGGGAGGGGTGGCAATCTTCAGCAGTACTGTAGATAATAAGTAACACACTGAACATGGTACCTGACTCTTACACAACAGGTTTAATAAGTAGCTGCTCTAAACGTCCTCTTCAATCGGGTTTGAACAGGGGGTGGGAATGGTGTCTGAATTGGAAAGGGCTTCTTTTTTTTTTAATGCACAGTACTGGTCACAAGTATTTATACAATTAGAGTAACTTTACTCCAGCATACAGCTTAGAATTATTTACTTACCCATATCGGCTTTTTTCCTTTTTATTTAACCTTCCATTGTTCCAGTAATCTCTCTCTAGTACATTTGTGTTTTGCCCCCACATCAGTTTTTAAAAATAGGTTACTATGTAGGTTTAGAAGATTTTTTTTTACATTTTTCCAAGAAATGTACAGTAATTATTCTTTATGTCAACTCACACGAAGAATTAAAGCTTTTAAAAGCCTTTGTGTAATTACCATAATGCACAGGAATAATTTAGGACACCATTAGTAATGCAAACAAGCCTCTGAAGTTAAGGAACCGGCACTTAGATGCAATCTGGGTGTCCTCCAAGCTGCGTTAGCAGTCCTGGCTGGCCTCATCTGGGGAGCCCTGTGTCACCCACTGGGCCCTCTGACATGGAGCCCCAATGCAGTCGCAGGGCCAGGCCTTAGAGAGTGGCAATCACCAAGGAAGGACCTGGAAGTCTGACCTGCCACTTGAAAGTAACTTTGTAAGCGGAGCTCTTAAGTATATGTCTAAAAGAGGCTCTGAAGGGAGAGGAAGTCACTTAGCCTACCCTGAACACCCAGGCTTCGAGCAGGGCCTGCTGCGCCTACACAGGCTGCCATCAGCTCAGGAGACATAGCTCCCTTCCAAAAGGGATGATTTCCGGGTGACGGCAGGTTCTCCCTGACTTCGAGGAAGCTCAGGCCAGAGGAGTAAGTGAGTAGGCAGGCTGCTTCCGAATCACCAGTATCCAGTTAAAACATGAGCCCAGGCCCCTGGCTCCCACCTGGCCTATTCTCAGCCTGTGGGCCCTAGGAGGGAGAGAGTCACGCAGTGTCTGACAGAGCAGGTATGGTACCTCTGCTTGTTCCTACCTAGATAACTGTTAGCAGGAACAGGCACGAGACTTTCATCATGGTCAGTCTCTCCGCCAACTTCATAGGGCCCATCTTCAAAGATGTTCATATCAAAAAAAGTGTTATTCTTTTGCTCTACACGAACAATCCCTAAAAGGAATGAAATGGAAAACAACAACAACAACAAAAATAAAGATGAAACAAAATAAAATAAATGGTTCCTAATAAACATCCCTTGTGTTAACAAGGAGACTAGAAGTCTGGGAGGAAGATGAAGAGGTGATAAGAGGCGATACAAGACTGTTCAATATGGTCATGCAAGTTTTTACGTGAAAGACATCTGCTCTAGGAATCTTGAAAATGACCCATGCATTTGAATAAACTATCTTTATAACACCAAGAAGCTACATGGAAAATGGAATGTTTGCTTAGCCAACAAAACTCTAAATGACATGAACTTGAAATAAATGACTATTTTGTCTTCTTTAATCCTATATCAAGTTTCCTTTTCTGTAGTGTAAAGTAAAATTAATATATCCATTTGCTCTTCAAACTGCCTTGGTGGCACACCCTTTTAATCCCGCACTCGGGAGGCAGAGGCAGGCAGATATCTGTGAGTTTGAGACCAGCCTGGTCTACAAAAGAGTTAGTTCCAGGACAGCCTCCAAAGCCACAGAGAAACCCTGTCTCGAAAAACAAAACAAAACAAAACAAAAACAACAACAACAAAAAATGCCTTAACCAAAATTTCATATTTAGAAGATTCTATAATTCTTAAAATTTTTCAGTATATTAAATGCCAAATTACAAAATGACCTTTTAAAAGTGATATTTCAATAGGTGGTGGTGGTGCACACTTTTAATTCCAGTGCTCAAGAGGCAGAGGCAGGTGGCTCTCTGTGAGTTTGAAGCCAGCCTGGTCTACATAATGAGTTCCAGGACAACCAGGGCTACACAGAGAAAACCTATCTCAAAAAACCAAAAAAAGCAAATAACAACAAACCCATGACATTTCAAGTTAGTGTTGCTAAGTCAGAAGATACATTTTCCAAGAATTAAAATGGAGCTAACTGGTGGGTATTTTTATTGTTCTGTTTTACAATATAATGCCATTTGCTCTTGCCAAAATAAAACTATTTCTAAATAATAAATGTTCTTTCAATTAGGTCAAAATAGCCTGATGTTTGGTTATATGAAACACTCTGCCAGAGACAGAGTGGAAACAAGGGAAATAACTTCCTATTGTCATAATGAATGATAAAGAGGGCTCTCAAGAACTGTTTTTAATAACAGTTGAATGTGGGGGGGGGGGGAGAGAAGCTAGAAAGCCCAGGACCTCACACATACTATGCAAATGCTATACACTGGCCCTGCTCTTTTCAAAATTAAAATTTAAAAGAATTTTTACACACACACACACTCCTGCACACACGTTCACACAACTGCAGTCGCTAGTAGAGTCCAGAAGAGGGTGCTGGATCCCACACAGGTGGAGTTACAGGCAATTGTGGATGCTAAAAACTAAACTTGAATTCTCTGCAAGACTGGTACTTGCTCTTAAGCACTGGGCCATTCTCAGCTCACACACACACACACACACACACACACACACACACACACACACACACACACACACACACACACTCATGCTTTGTCCTGTCCTGAGACAGGCTCTTCATAGAGTGTCAGGGCTAACCTTTAATTTTTGATTTTCATGCCTCAACCTTCCACGTAGTCATCTCTTCCCAGCTTATAGAAATATGGTTTATTTTAATTTCTCAAAAGGTTTTATTTCCAAACTACCATAGATTCTCTTCATCATGGATTAGAGCTAGATTCCCTTATGATGTAGCAGCTTGCCATATAGCACATTCATTTTTCAAAGACATTTAACACTTATTGAAGGAACTGACCAGACTCATCTGATCAAGCATGAGTCATTTTCCTTGTTCCTTCCCAGTGTCTCCTTCTCTTATAATACTGCCAACTAACCTTACCTCAAATTGCCTTGAATTTTTGACTAAACACCCCCCAATCTGCCAGCCATCTGTTCTTTTAGCTTACATGACCTTCTAAGGTACTATACAATGGAATGCCCATGTTAACACAGTTCTTTTTGTATGCCATTTACTCCAACTCAGTGTTCACATCACTGACTTAATTCAATAGTTCTTCAAGTAATAAATATAAAACAGCAAAAATCCTACTAATTATTATATTAGAGAAAACTCAATTCACCGTAGTTATTTTACTTTTTTCTTTTTCTTTTTTTTCTTTCTTTCTTTCTTCTTTTTTTTGAGACAGAGTTTCTCTGGTTGGCCCAGCTATCCTGGAACTCACAGAGATCCACCTGCCTCTGCCTCCCAAGTGCTGGAATTAAGGCTCATGCCACCACCTCCTGGCCTTACCCACTTTTATAAACACCTTATAGCCTGCTTAAAATGTACTAAACCATGGGACATATTGTAGGAATTTTACTGATATTTTAATGTGTTTCTGTAAATACAGATGTCATACCTTTCCAGTTGTAAGTGCCCGGGGCTCCAAACACAATGTAATGGAAATCTTTAGTGAAGGTAGCTGCTACCCCTTGCTGACACGAGCCAAATTTTTCATGGCCTCTCAAGCGGCCATCACAGAAACTCCAGTCTCCTCCATCCATATCATCTTCAATCCTGAGATTCTGACTCAGGACGTAACACCTCCCGAAGATGTCTCGCGACTCCTGCTTTGTGTTAACATGCTGCCTCTTTTCGTATCGATGCGCACATGTCTGCAAACAGTAAAATCCTGCTACTTAAAACTTCCTAGACCTGGGATGCTAAGCAATAATAAAGAGGTCAACTCTCAAGAGGATGAAAAAAACGTGCCCTCCTCCTGGGAGAGAATCCCAAAGCAAACCAGCAAATTCCTCACTAAGATGCCATCTACAAGACAAAGGACCCACAACTTCTGCCTTATTCTCAGAGAACAAAGTCCCATTCCAAATATTAAAATACCAGTTTGTATCCACAGGCAACTCACCTGTAAATTCACCTGTAATATCAACAAAGACAACGCCACCTCACTGCACTGTCTTGATGTAATTGGCTTTTAGTGACTGTAAATAACTCTGTTCTAGACAGAAGCATGGACATGTGCTCTTAGGAGATAAGTAAACAGCGAAAACAGACACTTGTCTTTCCATCGGTACTGTCACCTCCTTGCAGAAAGGCACATCTTACATTCTGTGCTCTCAGACTACTTCCTGTCACTAAAAGGTAGAAGAAATGACCCCATCAAGAGAGAATAACCTCTGTTTTCTACAGGGTCTTCATGCTACCTTCCATGTAACACATTCTAGTGTCTGAGGACAGTACCTCCCAAGTCCGTTTCACATACTGTGTAAGAACCAGTAGTTCACCAAGATTTTCATTGTTCTCGTTTCTGTTTAAACTGTGTTATAGCAACTAGACTGTGAAAAAGAGACCCATCCCCCCCCCCCAAAAATCACCACATTCCAACCAGAAGTGCTTCCAAGCCAGGCTACCTAACAAGCCGCCTCCTATCTGAAGAGGTTAGGGGTAAAACTAAAATTGATTTTACTGTCCACAATCAAATACCATGGTTTGCGATAATTTTGTCTAGAAAAACCAAGGAGTTGCCAGGGCAGAAACTGTCTTCTTGGCTTTACTGGTTTTATCCTAAGAGCAGCTCGTCTTAGGGATATTCAAAACATGTTTATTTATTAAGTTCTTTGGCTCTGGAAGTTTTAAAGACACACACAGGTTGCTGGACCAACTCACGGTCTAGCAGGCATCATGGGAGAAGTGAAGCTTTGGCTTGTTCTGGGCTTGAGGACCTATGTTGCTCAAAGGTAAACCGAGGCAGGAGCCCATAGCCAGCCAACACTGAGGAGGTGGACTTTCCGGCACTCACCACCACTTTGCCTCCTGGACCTTGACTCTGGACGGTGACTCCCATCCACTGATCTTCCTTGCTTTCTGACATGGGGTCCGCTGCGGGAAGTAGCACGGTTACAGACAGTTAGCACATCCAAGTGACTGAAAGGGAAGACTATCCAAACCAGCACAGTAACAACCACAACAACAAGTCATGTTCAAACTGCCTGGACTCCACGACTAACTACTCAGGAAATTCATTTAACCCCAAACAATTTCTTATCTCAAGGAAAGGGAGAAAGAGTTGAGTGACTCTTTCATGGAAATCCTGTAATAAGACCTCTGAAGATGGTGCGAGACGGAGCCACTCAACAGCTGCCCTGTGATGCGGCAATGTGAAAAGCAGCGTCTAAACCAACAGAGTCTGCTCACTCCCCAGTTCTGCATGTAGCAGTGCAAACTACTCCTTCTGGGCCGGAAAGAGGGAGGGGGGAGCAGGAACGCACAGAAAGATCACCACGTCCTCATTTCAATGCCAGCCTAAATCTACTCCCCCACATTTCTGCTTTTCTACACAAGAGTCAAAATGTTAGGGGGAACGGCTGGATACCAAGATTACTACTGACATTTTGCCTCTTCTCTCTTTACATATCTGTGTATTCTTAAGTCTTCTGCAATTAACATGTAATATTTCCTAGTCCTAAGAGCAGCACATCATTCCTGAAGGACACAAACGAGAATGGAAGCCTGCATGTCTATTTAGGCAATAATCAAGTTTGGCTTCTTAGAAGCCTCTCGGAACACTAATGGCTCTGTTCAATCTACGGGAAGCCAGGTAAATTAGCCAGTGACACATCTGGACTCCATTACAGCATCTTCCAGCTACTCGGAGGCTGCTAAAATGGGATATTAAAAGGGAAATAAGCCTGTCCTTCAGAGTTAGCGGGTTTAGCTGGGTAAGAGTCTGCTGTTTAAAAGATCCTATTGTATAACAGTGACATGTATGGGACTCAACAGCAGAACACGTGACACTTTCAACATCCCATGGGGGAAAACTGTCACATTACATTTAATGTGCGTATAGATTTCCAATACTAGCTGCTTCTGAAGTTTTTCAAAAATTATTTTAACTGTACTCTATCTCATCAATTAATGCATCTCAGTCTTTAAGGAAGATTTTATTCAAGCCGGTATGTTCTCACTTTAGAGTATTCTCATATTTAAAAGTTTTTCAGGGCTGGAGTTGCAGCTTGGTGGTAAAGCACTTGCTTAGGATACGCAAGCAGTGGGTCAGAGTCCCGGACATCACAAAGGTAAACAAAAATAAACACATGAATAAAATAAATAATAAGTAAAAATAGACAGGTCTTTCTCCCAAATATTTTAACAGCAGGTGATATTTTGACTGCTTAAATATAGGCACATTTAATTTTCTTCACAGCTATGAATTCAATTTTGCAACAGTCTCCATGCACCACTAGGTGGCAACATAAACACGCCATTGTAACTAAACCTGATTAAACAAAGGTAGCAAATTGGCCAGCTTCAGTGTGATTTAGAAAAGTATTTCCAGGGCAAATAAAACCGTCAAGACTGACAGAATTAAAAGTGGGCCCTTCTTCAAGAATCAATGCCTGTAACTCTTCTTTGTGGCTTGTGGCAAGGGAAGCAGGGTACAGACAGGCTGGCCAAACAAACGGGGGGGGGGGGGCAGAACACACCATCATTATCAAACTCAATCCGCGTGCAGGGTCCCCGGGAGGTGATGTCACAGCTGTACAGGCCCCCTGTTCTGTTCGCCCTCTGCAGGGGCAGCGCCTCCGCCCGAGGCGCCCCCACAAGCAACCTGGGGACAAAACAGAAAGACTTAAGGGACTTACATGCCATGTACTTTAAATGTTTAGCCAGAACCCAGAGCTGGGGACATTATTCTGTTATGCAGTCCACACACTGCTCAGCAGCTGAGGAGTTGGGGACAACAAACATTCTTGCAGCACAGGCTGATGCGCCTCGCAGCTGAGGCATGATACGCCCAGTATCTCTAACAAAGGGAATGCAAACCTGCCCCTCCCAGAATCGGCAGCAGCATCTGGGTGCTCTCTGGTGTTGGAAGACACTCTACATAGAGCAAGCGCAGAAAACGGACCGCAAAGGGACAACTCACACTCCCAACTTTGGGCGAGAAGCAGCCGGGTCATGTTCCATCTGGTAAGTACACTGGGCAGCCCCACCCACCCCCAGGTATCTTAGACTACACCTAGCTTTGCAGCAGCTTCCACAGATTTAGAATCCAACGCTTGCCTATGGCGTAACTCAACGACTCTTGCAACCTGCCTCTTCCCTTATCTTCCTTCCTCGACTTTACCAAGGATACAACTAACGAGTAAAGGTTGCCTTCATTTAGGGTGCAATGCTTGATGTTTTGCCTCACTGGAACCCAATACAAGTTCCGCCCAGTCTCCCATAAAGGATGTGGGATGAAACGGCAGCTTCGGGTGAAATACATTCCTCTTCCCTTCCACCCCAGATTGCCCCTGAGCAGCAGCTCCTAAACCAAAGTCATGATCATCAGCCAGCTGTTACTTCACACCCAGAGGAGCTGACTCAGGTTTACAACCTTTGGGGTCTGCCTGATGACGGGACAAACTGTGCAAGAGACACAGAAAGGGCACACACCTGACCACACAGAGCAGCTCGGCCGGAGCTGGGGGGCATGAGGCTGGAAGTGGAAAGACGGCTGGGGACAGAGGCCAGGACAAACAACAGACCCTCTGAAGAGAGAGCAGGCCACACTTGGCCACGGGAAGCCTGCAGAGCCAGGCGCAGAAGAAACAAACACCCCTGACCATCCCCACTGCCTCTTGCTTGCTGGCATGGATCCCAGAAAAGAAGTCAGTCGGTGTACTAGTGGACACCCTGTCGCAGGTGCAACTGAGGGAAGGGGATTACAGCTGCCCAGGAGAACAATGGTGGCTTCCTGTAGGGACAACTGCCGGCCCTTCCTCCTACAGCCCCAGGCAGGCTGCACTGCCAACTTCTACCTCCAAGTCTATCCTGCACCTCTGAAAGGGCAAAACTGCGCACACCGGGGTACAGAACGGAGGTAGAGGCTTAGCGATTGTTCCCAGCCCCCCAAATTTCTCAATCAACAGAAAGTTGCAGGGGTCTGCAGAGACCTACCATGGATCTATCTGAGTGAGGCTGAGAGTCCTGAGAGATGAGACTAGACTGTGAGGTAAACAGGGTTAGACGCTTGCCAGACGGGATGGACCCCGTGGCTGGGGATCAGGAGAAGCAAGCAGTGAGCCTAGCCACAGGCACAAAAGAAGGTAAGGAGCTCACACCCTCTGGTTTGACAGGAAACGAAGGCCTTCACAGGTTGATTATGAAGCGGTTGGGTCTCACAGCTAGGTGCCAGCCAGGACAAAGATCACCCAGCCCTGTCTCCGATCCTTCAGGATGCTTCCCAAGAAGCAAAACTCAACACCTGGAAAGTTTTAAACTGGGCTGATCGAGCCAACTTACACCAACGGCACACCGAAATAAAAACTGCCCTGAATGGTGACAGATTCAAGACCCATTCATTCCCAACAGGCTGAGGGGAGAAAGAGCCCAGACCCAACCTTAGCCAGTGGGTAAAGGTAACCAACCGCCAAGAGGAGGGCGGCTCAGAGGTCCTAGACTGTTCTTTCCTCCTCTCTAACCACTTCCTCTTACACACACCGGAGGAGGCTGCTAAGTGTGGCGGGCAGGCCTCTTCCTGTTTACCCCATTCCTCCTTCAGTCAGTATCCCTGCCTCCAAGATGCATAAGGAATGGCCTCCCTCTTACACTCAGCTGTGGGAGTGCCTGACCCATAAGCAGCTCATAAAGGACATGGAGGTAGACACATCAAGAGGGCAAGTGCTTTGTGGAAGGAGTGTCCCAGGAAGTGACAGCAGAAGGGACAAGGGCAGGCAGCACAGTGCAGGCAAACGGGCTTTGCCTCCGGGGAAGGAGCTAAACCAGAAGTTCTCAGCCTTCCTAATGCCTTGACCCCTTAATACAGTTCTCCTTGTTGTGGCCGCCCCCAACCATAAAATATGTTCATTGCCACTTCGTAACTGTAATTTTGCTGCTGTTATGAATTGCAATGCAAATACCTAATATACAGGATATCTGATATGGGACCCCTATGAAAGGGTTGTTTAAGCCCCAGCATGGGGGTTTCGATCCACAGGCTAAGTGCTGGGCTAAAAGCCGTAGGGGAGTGGAGTCTGGTGATGTGAGTGGGGCTGGAGACGGACGGCCTGGTGAGAAGGCTGGAGAGGCATCAGAGGAAGCCCCAGGGCCTCGGGACACAGCCATCTCTTGAGCCTTTCTGGGTCCCTACAGGGGACAGGGGTTCCAAGGTTCCCTCCAACATGAAAAGCTGTAGCAGGGCTGGAGAGTTGGGTTAACACACTCTTCTTCCAGAAGCAGAGTTCGGAGTCCGGCACCAAGCAGAGTGCCTGCAACTCCAGCTCCAGGGGGTCCAAAGCCCTCTTCTGGGCCCCATGGGCACCTGTACACATGAGGTACACACACACACACACACACACACACACACACACACCCCTCACCAAACTGTGGAGGCTGCCCCATGCACAGCAGCAGGCCCAGCCATGGCTTTCTCCAACCCTTCTCCCCCTCACCCCGGGGAAGGGGACATGCATGGGAAGAGCAGAAAGAATGAAGAAAGGAAGGAGCAGGGCTGTTGAGAGATGAAGACAAATCTGAGGAGAAACCACAAAATAAGAGCCATGTGTCTGCGGAGGCTAATGGGACCTGAAATGGTGCCTACCCTGGGCTCTGCCTGCATGGGCACTTAAGCATTCCATCCCCATTTTGGATTCATCCTGGGAGGAATGGAAGAGGGGGGCACCGGGCTGCCCTCAGCAGATTCCGGGGAGGCTGTAGGAGGGAGCACTCACCAGCAGAGGGTGCCCTCTGCAAAACTCTACAATTCCGAGGCTGCATCGTACTAATCCCAGCCTTGGGGCAACAGGTCCCAGAAGTGTGTGTGTTAAGTCACCCCAATACTCAGCAACTGGCGGAGGCTTCATCCAGAAATTAGCAAAAAAAAAAAAAAAAAAAAAAAAAAGGTTCTTAATCCCACTTGGAATGGGCCCTAATCGTAGAAGGTCACAGTCCATTAGCTGAGGCTATGCCTGTGAAGAACAAATAAATGAGCAAAACTAAGCCAGTATGCAAAAAAATGACACCAGGGACAGCCGTCTACTTCTAATCTAGGTCATTTTAGGTCACAGTGTGGGTTAATGCTAAGCACATGCTGATTCTTGAGCTGCCAGGTGCCTGTAGGTGTCAGAGGGATAGCCTGTTCCAATCAACCCTTCAACCCGTGCCAAAATCTGGCTTTTGCATTAATCCCAGCTTCCTCCAGGTTCCTCCCAACAATGGCTTGGGCTCCAGGCTGCCAAGATGGTTCAGTGAGAGAACCAGGTGCTCTGTGGCACCACTACAGTGACCAGGCCAACTCCAAGGACCAGGACTGCAGGTGTCAACGCTGCTCAGATTCTCTCTTCAGCAGAAGCCTGACCTACAGCATCAGCTCTGCATTCAGGCGGTGGGGGTGGGGGGTGGGGAAGTGAGTCAGCCTTGTAGGGGGGGAAGTGGAGGAAATTAACAGAATAGCATCCAAAAGTCTATTCCTGTATATCAGGTCCAAAGAAGGAAAGACTACAAACACGGTGCAAGAGTGTAGTGTGGACTAGGAAAAGTCACTTTTCACACTGCTTGCCTCAGAGCCAGTGGAAAGATACTTCTACCGGGTTTTATTATTTCTCCTTTGTTTTCGGGGTGGGGGTGGGGTAAGATTTTTGAGACAGGGTTGTCCTCTAATTTAGCACCCTTTTCCCTCAGCCTCCCAGGACTGGATTAACTTGAGTCACCATGGTCACCTTCCACCGAGTTCTAAAGTTGTACTGAAATAACTCCCTGAAGATTTCAACACACTAGAAAACATTTAAAGACAAGACAAGGGCTTTTCTACACGGGCTGCTTTTCCAGAGGACCCACATTGGTGGCTCACAACCATCCATAACTCCAGCTCCAGGGGATCCAACGCCCTCTTCTAATATCCAAAGATACCAGGCACACAACTAGTATACATTACACATGCAGACAAAACACTCATGCACATAGAAATTAGAATTTAAAGAGCATCTTAAAATAAGATGCAAAACCGCAGCACCATCTTTAACAGTGAGACATAAACTTTTTCATTGTGAAAGGCAATGTCAAGTATGGCAGTGCTTCAGAGTAAGACATAAATGGAGGTCTTGAGAGATCATGACTACAGGCTAAGGGTTCTGGACCCAATACTATAGTCTGGAAGAACGAGTCTAAAATCCACCAAGAAGGCCACTTGGCCACACAGCCACTCGTATTTTCACAACTCCCACAACAACAGCTGGTCTACTTCTGTATAACTGTCCCAATCAAATGCTCTAAACACTGGGGTTCTCTTTAAACTTGAAAGACAATAGCAGCTTTGCTTCATTGTCTTTGGCAATAATTCATTTCCTTAAGGATTAAAGATCATGCCTCTAGCTACTCAACTCTGTCTTGGGAAACGTGAACTTGTGCTTCACTGGAACAAGGGCACCACCATTGCTTAATTGAAAACATAGCTTTCTCCGTTCACTTCAGCAAAGACTTGAAGAATGGAGACAGCATTACCCAGGGAACTGTGTCACTGACATTTAAGCCATCTTCAAATTCAGTATCAAATCTTTAGTAAAGTAATAAATAACAATGATAAGTAAAAAATAAAATAAAATAAAGAACTCGGTGTTGGGGAAGTCC